ACTGTCAGACTTTGTCTGGCAGAGAGCAGTACTCTGAACAACTGAAAAGCTTCGTAGATCTTACTGAAATTGGAGCATGTAGCGGCAAAAGATGTTCATATAAATGCGAGCGAGAGGCAGTTGGTAAAAATTATAAATATTTCATTACCTAATTGCTTTGTTACTGTTTGACGTAACAAACTAAAACTTATTTTTCCGCTTTTTAGTTCAACTGTCAAGAATACTTTTATCATTCTGAATAATAGTTGGCCACCTTGATCTGTGCTGACAACACTAGTCGAGCTGATCCACTGAATATAATTGGCATCAAATTGCTAAAACCTCAATTGATTAGACATTTTATTTGCAGCGCAACATAAGTTTTATTTATCATTTGAAAACAGTATCTGTCGAGATTATATAACTGAAAAGATGTTCAATCGACTCGGTCGACTACTTCCTATTGTGCTTAAAAGATCTACTTATGCCGGAATTATTCCGAACGATGCTTTCATTGCAGCGGATGATTATAAATGTCCAAAAGATTTAGCTAAATACTTGAAATTTTTGAGTACCAATTATACAGCATTTTCCAGGTTTGTTTATACGAAAAGTATGAGTGCTTAAATTTTGTCAAGGAACCATTTGCTAAAGCTTTACATCGGCGTTTAGGGTACAAGCATTTATATAATTTCAAATAGAACTGTATACGTTTTGAAGTAATGCTGTAAACAAAAAAGAAAATTTAAAAACTGTTCTTATAAGGATGCTACTGCATGACTTGAGTTAGTGGAATAAAGAGCGACTTCTTGTCTTAATTCAGCCCAAGAATGCAATTTTTTGGAAAAATTAGACCAAGTCGTGAAAAAAAAAACAGGTTGACAAGAAGTTTTGGCATTTAATTGAGGGCAGCGTTCAGCAGCTGAAATCGCTAGCGTCGTTTTTTTGTGATAAAAGTCACACCATCCTGTTCATTTTGATAGTTTTTCTGAATTGTAGAAAAAATAATGCTTTTTTTTTCTGTTGGGAACACTTCTTCGTCGTGAAAGTTGCTAAATTTAGTAAAATATTTTGCCTTGTCATTTTTACTTTTTCATTAATAGCTTTTCTTAAAAAATTTTTTTATTTTTTAAAATCTGCTTGAGCAAATACAGTAATGGAAAGTAAACAGTAGTAGCGCGCTAACAAAAGTTCGCCCCTTTTCAAAACACAGGCTGGTGTAGTCTGAGGTTGCAATAGCGAGACTGTGTGCCTTGCTCGAGTAAATTTTACTGTATAGAACAAAAATAATGCTTTGCAGTAGGCAACTGGAAAGGAGAATTTTTAGCTTTAATAAAGGCTCATAAAAGTTTTACTGAAAACGAGTACAGTGACTTTTATGGTCATAATTGCGAAGAGTTTTGTTAGCGTATTTCAAAAGTTTAGAAAATGCCTTATTGAAGCATAAATAAGAGCTAAAGAAGATGCAGACGAAAGCAGATGAGAAATCAATAGAAAGTACTAAAAGGTAAAATTACGTGAATAATGGTAATGCAACAGTATCAGCAGTTCAGTTTCAGCTGGAAAGTCTTCGTTGAAGTTCAGCGATGTGCTTCAAAATAAAATTTTCTGCTTTTTTGTCTGCATATCTCTTTGGCCGACATTTAAGGATGTTCATGTGGTATTTTATTTGCAATGAAGCCTCGCTTTTAGAAAGAATAGGCAAACAGTTCATTAGATGACTTTAACTCAGCCACAGTGAGGAGAGCAACAACGCACTTTAATGCAGCATACTTTTTTTCCTATTATAAAAATTATATTTTACTTTTGAGAAAATTTCTTTCAATTTTCTACTTTAATTTAATTTTTAGCGCTTTTTTGAGAGATTTTTTTATTTCAAAGAAGACATCTGTGTTACAATCTGCGCAAAAATTTTCTACTTCTTTGACGGTCGTTGACTCCTCAAAAACGCATATCCATGTGAACTTCTTAATTCTACTACAACCATTGCAGTATAATTCAGCTGCTCATTTATACAGAAAAATTTTCAAAAA